ACCTTAGTCTTCAAGCTGACATCTTTGCTCTTCAACACTTTAAAAAGTTCCTGTGCAGCAGATTTGCCCAGTAGTGAGGATTTTTGTTGTATTCCATATTAAAGGCTGTGTTCTTTGATCTTCATCAGTAAATGTTTTAAGTCCCCTTCACTTTGAGCAAGCAAGGTTGTATCATCTGCATATCGCAGGTTGTTAATGAACCTTCAATCCTGATGCCACGTTTTTCTTCATAGAACCCAGCTTCTCATATTATATGCTCAGCATACAGGTTGAATAAGTATGGTGAAAGAATACAACCTTGTCACACACCTTTCTTAATTTTTAAACATTCATTGTTCCCATGTTCCATACTCGTATAGCTAGATCTTAAAGGAGCATACTGCTCAAGGCAGACGTGCTTTACAGTTTAGCTATAGTTTGGGTTTAGGAAGACTTCAGAAGATAGTTTTGGTCTAAGGCTTAAAGATAACTCAAAGCAGTAGTTTCGGGGGTTCATCTACCCTCCAGAAAGTCTAGAGTCCATGAGAATTTTAAGTCGTGTTCTGCATTTCATCACTGTTGATTAGAAATCTTATATAGATCACTAATGGTAGTGGGCGTTATCCATTTCTTTTGGTCTTACGGCAAAGGAAGCAGACTATTCGTGGAGACAATTAGCCACATATTTCATTACCTTCTATTCTTGACTCTTCTTTCTCTGTTGCTTCAGTGAATAGAGTAGTCCCATTCTCTTGTAAGCTAATTGATTTTTTTATGTTTTTGGAGTTTTACTATAGTGAATAGATATATTTCTCTGTTATAATTTATTACAGTAAACATTGTGCTACCTAATTTTTTGATGCTTTCTAGGAAAATTGAATATGTTAAAATATGATTTGTAATTGTGTTGTTATGTGCTGTCGAGACAGTTCTGATTCATAGTGACCCTGTATAGGCTTTCTGATGAGTTGTGGTTAGAAGTCCAGTGCTTATTCTACAGTGTCACACCAGAGCCCCACTGATTTATAACTGTTGTTATATGCCATCGTGTCGGTTCTGATTTGTATCCACCCTGTGCACAGCAGAAAGAAATGCTGTCTGGTCCTGCGCAAAGCTCATGATTGTTTTGCTTGAGCCCACTGCTGATGCCACAGTGCCAGTCCATCTCACTGGGTGGGGGGCTTCCTTTGTTTTTGTTTATTCTCCACTTTACTTAGTACAATGTCCTTGTCCAGGGATTGGTCCCTCCAGATTTGTTTGTTATTTTGATAGTCCATGGTATTTTTATATTCTCCAACACCATAACTCAAATGCATCAGTTCCTCTACATCTTCCTTATTCATTGTCCAACATTTAGATGCACATGAGGCTGTTGAAATGCCATATGCTGGGTCAGGTACATTTTACTCCTTATACTGACTTCTTTGCTCTTGAACACTGTCATCTGTCAGTTTGTCATAATATAGTGTCTATTTTTCTGTGATGGTAGAAACTATGCCACTGGTGGTGTAAGAAATTAGCTGGATCACCCATGGTGGAAAGGTTTCAGCTGAGCTTATAGACTAAGACAGACTAGAAAGGAGAGATGGACTCCTTTTTTCTCCCCTTGTTAGTATCTTTTAAAAAACTGTTTTATTGTGAATTATGTAATAGTTTACATGGGCGAACATTAGCTTTACATTCATCCTATCGTATATCACTTCATTGCCATGGTTACAATCCCCTCAACCAACCAGATGGTACACCCTGCAAGTACACCCTACGTCATCAACCAACCAAATGGTACACCCTGCAAGCCTGCCTACTGGTCGTCAGCACACAGCCCCTCTCCCTCTGGGTCTATAGTTCCCAGCTACTCCATCTCTCCACATCATTGTCTCTGCCTCCATCTCTGACGTCGCTGTCTCTGGGTAGGGTCCTGTACTCCACTCTTTTCCCTGGATGGTCCAAGGGCCCTTTGCTCCTGGACTGCAAATTCAACCACTCCCTTCCTTTTGTTACAAAATGTCTGCCTTTACATTTTCCAATCCTCACAGTCATTCCTGATAGTAATTATTCACTATTGTACCACAAGAGTGCCAACCACATCTCCTTTCATTAGTCCCACCCAGACAGATTGGGTACCACTCAGTGGAGATTCTATCTTCCTCCGCACCCTCTGGATCTAGGCTCCCTTTTTTTTTTTTTTAACGTTTTATTGTGAATTATTTGATAGTTTATATGGGAGAACTTTAGTTTTACATTCATTCCATCGTATATCATCTCATTGCCATGGTTCCAATCCCTCCATGCATCATCAACCACCCAAAGGGTATATCCCAGAAAC